CCCAAGTAACAGGAAAGGTGAAACAGCACTTCTACTGCTAAAATGATTTTCCTCAAGGGTACATTAGAGATTTCACACTCAGATTCAAACATAGAAGGAAAAGAATTCTTGCTGTTAAGATGTGTTAAAAATAAGCAGAACACTGGCTTGTTACTAAATGTATCCGTTTCCTTACAGTCCATCATCCAAGTGGCCAGATGAATCCTCACTGTGACTATGAGCAGGCACAAGAGCAAACTGCATTTTATTCAGCTCGGTGCCATCAGGAACGGACTGATTTCTGTCTTCAGGGTCTATTCTGGATTGCTATTAAAAACGCTCTGGGTGAAGCACGAAGCACATGATTAGTGTTTTTCATATTGAGGAATAAACTCAAGAAGCTGCCAGTGGAAGGTACACATCTTCTTGAATCCCGTAAGTCTCACGACTTACTTCCTAGCTGTTTTGCTAGAAGTGCCAGAAAACTCACCTGAACTTACACCAGGAGGCAATCTATGCTGAGATGCTTTGCAGCAGCCCACAGTTATCTACCAGAAAAGCCCGACAAATGCAGATTAAATCCCATCCTTTGTCCAGGTCTCAGTTCTAGTGCTACCACCTTACAGGAAGATTGAATGAAGCGTAAATTAAGACCAAGATGAGACTTTACAAAGGTTTCCTTCTCAAAATATTTCTAAGAAAAGGCAGAGCACAGCTTTCTCCAACAGATTGCTGAAGTTTACAAGATACAATCCTCACTGCCAGCCTCTTCTGTCTCTGCACGGATACAAGCCTCACTGCCAGCCTCTTCTGTCTCTGCACGTGGCTACCAAGTGTCTAACTCGATGTCCTGTTTCTGAGATGGCATTTCAACATATTTACAGGCAAGAGAAGAAAGAAGTTGCTCTGTATTGCCACACTTAGAGTGTTTGTCCTGCGTTCTCAGGAGGCACTCTGGCTGGTCCCAGACCATGGCAACAAACAGAAAACCGTGCCAATCACAGAATGAATGGGGGAAAAAAATGGCAGTGACAAGGACATCTGGGATACTGCATGGAGTTGGAACCCCTTCTTCCATGCAGGTCCTACAAGAAGTTCTGGCTAAAGTTTTGCCTCCTGTTGTGTCGCCTACCTAGTCGTTACCTTAAAAAATGAAGGGGAGAAGGAATGAAGAAAGCGATGTCAGTGATAGCGAAGAGGTGCAAGGAACCTGTAGATCATTAGATCATCACGTAGATCATCATGTAGATCATCATGTGGATCTGAGAACGCCCATTTGTACCAGCCTAATGATCTGGAAAAAGTGAGAGCGCACATTTGTACCAGCCTAATGATCTGGAAAAAGTAATTCAACAGATAGGCATTCCGCTCAGACTGTCCACACAACCAGGGCTCACAGGCCTGGCTTACCTGACGATGGATACCTGCTAGGTGACAACTGGTATTGGTTAAAAATTCGTGTAAACCTGCAAATTGGAATGGCCGAGTTTTTGCTGACTTTGCGTCTTGTGCATCCTGTTACGTGTGTGCAAGGCACTAGAGAGTCAGGCACATTGTTCTGGTGGAAACCGCTGTATGACTAAGATGATCTGCGTCTGCAACACCCAAAAGCTTCATAAAGGAGCAGCTGGAGCACAGCCACATTTTAAAAACTGCCATTAAAATTTCCCACTTCTGAAATGATCTTCTTTTCCAGATCTTTTGGGGAATGGGGAAGTGGGAAATAGCTTTGTGATAGCAAAAAAACTCCTGAAGAAAAATATTTGGGGTCTATACAGTTAATCTCCACTCTGATACTGATGTTGGTAATTTCTGTTACCAGCATCAATACTAGTAAGTGGTTAAACTCAATAAAATCCTTTTTTATATCTCCAGGGGAAGCTCTGGCTCTTGACATAAACGAACCCATGTCCAAATCCCTGCAGCACACAAAGACTGCCTGATGCCTTCCTCCTCCTGCCTTTGGTGGGAGGTCAGAGACAGCGACCGACCTCCCAGAGAGACACCAAAACCAGGGGAAATGGTACCAGTGACGATACCAAAGCATCCGGGCCAGCTCTTCCCTGGGAAAAGAGAGAAAAGTGAGTCTTTTGGAGAGGCTGGCGCAGCAGGGGGACACGGATCGGACGGCAGGAGGACACAGAAGCCAGGGAGTGTAAAAGGGCAGAGTTACTAATTCCAAGGCTTGGCTGACATCCCCTTCTGTGCCGGGTGCCGGGAGGGCCACAGGGAGCTCGGGGGGTGCCCATGTGCTTGTGCCACAGGAAGGAACAGGAGTTGGAGGCACGAAGCCAGGAGGGAAGGCCTCGTGCAGGCCCAGGTGGCCACGGATGAGACACGGTCACTCCTACTTCTGAATCAACATGCCACAGCCATAACATGCAAAACTGATTTAATATAAACCGCTGGTTAAATGTTGTGTAAAAATACCGGTAATTTAGCTTTGTCCTTGGCAGGATTTATCTTCTGTCCTCTGTTTTGTTAACACCGATTTTCTATCCTGTTTTTTTTTTTGTGCCTATATAAAATCCATATCAAATCGGTAGCAGAGGGCAATCTGGTCTGGCAACATAACCATTCTGCCACGCAGAAATTGATAAAGAATCATCTTATTACAATAATTCGTAAAGTGCCCTCAGGAAAGGTGCTCATAATGCCGTAACACTATAGAAACAATATACAATCTGAGACATTATTGTCAAAAACAATCCTCCAAAGTAAAAAGGGAAAATATAAAAGGAGGGGAACAACAAATATGTAGGCAAAAAACTGCCAGTCAAACAATAGTCAAATTAATTATGGAACACTTTACAATTAGTCTTGGAGTGCTTATAAAAATGGGGGGGGCAATTTGGCAGGAGTATCTTGGAAAAGTCCCAAATTTCCTAAGTTCTACCAAAGTAAATACACCGTCAGCAAGCTCAGTGTTTGAAGATGAAATGACTATGAAATACTATGAGGTATTTTACCATGGTAATCGAAAAAAAATACAACATTCAAAGAAAACCCATGACCCACATTTTACTAAGAGCAAAGACAATCAAACAGTGGCTATGTATATCCAGCAGTATAAAAAAAAAATATATATTCAGAATATATATAAAAAAAGAAAACAATCCTTCTCCTCCTCTCTCTGCTGATATACAAAAATATACACACAGTTATGTGTATATATTTCAGGGTCTTACTACATTTCAGAGTCTATTTTCCTTTTTTTTTTTTTTTAAATGACTTAGGAACATAATTGGGAAAAAAAAAAATCCAGTAATTGCGTGCATGCAAGCATATCCTGCCACTTGTGCATGTAAATTACACAATTTGTAAACAACCGCAGAAATAGCATGCTCAAATTAGGCATCTGATTGCCCAATTAACTTGTTCAAAGACAATCAGATGATAACCTTCGGTAGCTCCTATTATAAATTTTACTCCTCAGTGCTACTTTCCTGAATTCATCGTGTATATTCTAAATAACTGCATTGTTATTTTGTGCTTTTACACAGGCATAAGCAGTGATGCACACTTAATAAAGCTACCAAGTGAACTTTGGACTGGATTTTAGAAAACTGTTCAGATACTTAAAGTCCCCATATTTCAGTGAAAATGAGCCAGCTTAACAATTAAAAAAAAAAATCTGGTCTAATTTTAAATGGTATAAAAAACCCAACAAAGAAACAGGAATTTGTGGGCCTCCATGCCTCTATTAATAGGCAAAGTTTTGCTTCTGTGTCTTTGTTTGATTTTTTTTAAGTGCCTTTTAAGTGTCTTATTTTCTTTACTAGGCAAGCATTGTTCAAGCATATACATTCATATCCTAGTAAATCCTTACTTTATTTTTGCGCTGAAATAATTGTTAATTAATGGTAATTTGATACAACATGAGATAGAACACCAGCTTGCTGCATTCAGGTGCATACTTTCTAATGGACAGAGAAACTAAAGTACCCAAATCTATCCAAGTACTGCAAGTAGAGAAACTTAGTATATCAAAATGAGTCAAGAAATTGACTTTTACCATAAATACGTTGCTCCTTTGCTGTTGTACTTCTTTTTCTGAGATGATGTTGTGGAAAGGGGGTATTTTCTTTTTTTCCACCAATTTTTTGCATCAAATAGATCTTAGCAACTTTAAGAGCTGGGCGGAACGGGTAAAGCAGAGCAAACCATTATCTTAACAACAGTCTCTCAAATAGGAGAAAAGAAAGCAAGAGCAGAGCTGCTGGGCTGGATCATGTCCCTGAAGAGGTTGAACATATAATCCTGGTGGGGTGCATTTACCAGTTCTTTACGTGCCTCCTGCAGCAACAGATGGGCTGGTCCCACTCCTCCTCCTCCCTCGGGAACAGCAGAGCGGTAAGAAAACCTCCAGGAGCCCCATCCTATTCCCAAGGGTTTCAATCAAGCATCTTGATTGAAGCATCTTGATTGATCGAATGGAGGGATTTCTTCCCTCAACTTCTTGTTGTGACAATACCTGATGGTGACTTTCCATTGCTGCTTTTCTTCCTTAAGAGGATCAAAATCCAATTTGGTACTTAAATGACTTTGTTCCACTCCATTGGTCTGTGCTCAGTTTAAAAATCTTCCAGGAGCGCTGCTTGTCCTTGCAAACTCAGACTTTGCTTTTCTCTATAAACAAACAAGAGAAAATCCCAGCTCCTCCCCACATCCCCTTTCCAAAAATATAATCACGATCATTTGTATTGGGAGAATTATTTAGCAGTCTCCAGTCTTAGTACAGCTTTTGTTGAGTAAACTGTAGCTTATACGACTCAGAAGTGTTTATTAGAAAGCTTTCAAAAAGAGATCTTCATTTCAGGAAAAGAAAAAATTGTTCAGTTTAGCAAATACAGATGTTCACAGCACAGAGACTGAAATGGTTAAAAATGATCCTAAGGAGCAAGTAGCTCAGAGTTAGCAAAAAAATTAACTTTTTCCTTTCTTTTACAGAAAAACACTAATAGCTGCTCTGGTTTCCATACTTAGTAAGACAGAATTTTGTTGTATGTTCTTGGTTTTGCTTTTTTTTTTTTCCTCTATTGCTCCACACAGGTTTTGATTAGTGCTTCTCCTTGGCTACAAATGCTTCACTTTGAAATACAAAGCTCTTGTTAAAAAAAAAACAAAACACCCCAAACACACCCCACACCCCGCACGGCCCCCCATGGCTGGAGAGAAGACGGGAAGCACGGGCAGTGATACAGTGCAGCTGCAGCAATCTGGTTCTGCTGTCCTCCTCCCCCAGCCCCAGATCCTCTGCATAATTGCAATCTTTAGTCGATGAACCTTTGGCAGGCCTTCTTCCACCGGCAGGCAGTGCACCACATATCTCTGTTCTCCATCCCATAGACCTTCCGACACTTCTTGCCCTCCCCTCTGGGCTTCCTGTCAGAGAGAAAGGGAAGCTGGTTAACAAGATGCTCTCACAGCTTTGCTGTCCCACCCTAAGATCAGGACAACAATCTCAGTGGAGTGCAGCAGGCAGAGGACTTCACAGGGCTTTGGGCTGGTTTTGAGTCACCAGGAGCTGATGATGTAGAGTGACATATGAAGTAGTGAGACATCGAGAAGCCTCATCTGGCTTCTACAGCCTCTGTGGAAGCTGCTGAGCCCACTCCTCTGCTCCAGGGCTGGCCCCAGGACCAGCCAGCCCTGACTTGAGCTGGCTACTAAACCCCCTAGAGATAAATGGTATTTTAGCCAGGTGAAGTGCCAAGCTGCAATGGGCAGGCACAGCTAGTCTGCAACGTGGTCCAGGTCACCTCGGGCAGAAAGTCCTCTTTGCTTTAGAGCTGTGGTACAAACAGCTTGTGTAGCTCTGAGCAGAGGACCCTGACCACCAGCAGGCAGCAGCTGTGCAGAAGAAGGGAAAAGCTACCAGCTCCCTTCCTGCACAGCTCGGTCTGAGCCCACTGACTGAAAAACAGCAAAGGGACCCAAACCAAGTTTTATCCCTTCCCATCATTTGCAGCACGTTCACGTGTGCTCCTTCCTTCTCTGTCATCTCCAGTGTCAGCAAGGCAGGCAGCACCTGCTCTTACAGCTACAGCCATTGTCATGTCTTCCATCTTAAAACCACACTCGGAAGTTCACAAGTTTAGAAAAGACTGAAGTCACCGTTAAATTGGAACTTTTTTATTCAACACATAGGAGAGCCACCAGGCTGGGGAGGGGTCTGGAGAACAAGTCCTGCGAGGAGAGGCTGAGGGAACTGGGCATGTTGAGTTTGGAGAAGAGGAGGCTGAGGGGAGACCTCATTGCCCTCTCCAGCTCCCTGAAAGGAGGGGGGAGAGAGGTGGGGGTTGGCCTCTTCTCCCAAGGGAATCATGACAGGCGCAGAGGGAATGGTCTGAAGTTGGGGCAGGGGAGGTTTAGATGAGATATTGGGAAGAATGACTTTCCTGAGAGGGTGGTCAGGCACTGGAAGGGCCTGCCCAGGGAGGTGGTGGAGTCACCATCCCTGGAGGGATTTAAGAAATGGGTAGACATGGCTCTTCAGGGCATGCTCTAGTGCCCAGGATTATTGGTTTGTGGTGGGGTGTTGTGTGTGGGGTTTAGTTGGTGGGTGGTGTTTTGGGGTTTGTTGTTGTTTTTGTGTGGTGGGTTTTTTTTGTTTTGTTTTGTTTTTTAATGTGGTTGGACTCGATGATCTCGGAGGTCCCTTCCAACCACTCAGATTCTGTGATTCTGTGACAGTAAGCCAGCAAATGTGAGGAGCAATGCCCCAAGTAACCCAACGCTGGCTATAGCAGCACCATCTGACCTAGCCTCTTTAAATAATTGTTTAATATGCGTATTACGTGCTGCACGGCACCCACGGGAATTGCCTGGTGACTGCTCTATGCATTTTTGATTACTGAACATTCATTAGTGGGCACAACCCATGAACTGGGAAGACCCGAAGTTTGGTTTGTAGCATATACAGTGATCCGAGAGCCATGAAGGAAATGAAAAGCATGAAATCTTCCTTTTTTTCTCATTTTAGGCTACAGTCATCTTTAGGACTGTGAGAAATAAGGAGTTCCTTTACTGTAAGAAATTTAGCATCACAGTTTGACTTTTTAACATAACGTTTTAAACACTTTTTAGGCAGATTCCGGTCAAACATCAGTTAGCTTTAAGCTTATGTCTAGGAAGACAAGGTACAAAAAGCTTTGCTTTGATTTTTTTCCTAGTAAGATATGGTTTCTTACAATTCAGCTGAAACCAAATACCATCCTGACTGAATGGTGATGAACACTCAAGGCAGCCCAGCCTTTCAGGGAAAAAAAGCAAAGCCACCTAGATGGTGATGAACACTCAAGGCCTTTCAGGGAAAAAAAGCAAAGCCACCTAATGAAGGGCAGATGCTTCAGCTGGAGCAGTGAATTTGGGCAGGACCGCTATACGGGGCAATTCAGATCTGCCTCTCAACTCCAGACACACCTGGCATGAGGCCAGCAGTTTTGCTCCACAGTCTGCCTTCTTCATTTCACAACAGCTCCCTTTTCCCCCAGACTTTACCTTTGATGGCAATGAAAAACAAAATAGGTCCAGAATGCTTAGGGTTCTAGTAAGAAAGTGCCTGACAACTGCAATCGTGGTTGGTGGTGTGGGGTTTTTTTTTTTTTCTCTGTTTCTGTGGCTGCTGACACCTTATCTGCTGAAGGCCCTCTAGGTGGTGAGGCTGCTGGCCTGGCAGCAGGAGCTAATGGTCCCATACCTCAAGCCAAATGCTACTCTAGGCGGTGATGAGAGAACTGTGTGGGACTGTTTCTGCTCTCCACTCCCTGCAGGACGATTATGAGTTGGTGAGACCTGTCAATACAGACAAAAAAGCTGCTTATGAAGAACATACACACAGGAATGCAGTATAAACACTTTTCCCAGAAAATGCAGTTCATGATGCACGGTGGAAAGGTTCTTATATGACATACAACATAAACCAGTTGTAGATCTATTTAGAAAGATGACCATTTAGCATTAGGTACGTTATATTAGTTCCACTATGTTTCCCTGTACTTCCAGTCATCCAAAAGGAGCAAACCAGAACACAGATCAGCATCAATTCAGGTTTTGGGAAACACACAAAAAGCATTCATTCTTATTTAAGAACTCTGAATAACTCTTACAAAGATTTTCTCCGATTTAAACAGAAAATAACTGGAAAAATTAACTCTGGCCTGTGCTGAGATCAATACCAATAACCCCTCCTGTGAAATAAAAAGGATTTCACACGTTCCTCCTGCCTCTTTGTGGAGAGACAGCCTGGGAGAAGGGGCTTTGCTGGGGGGCAGTTACAATCAGCCTGGAGGTGTCACCGGGAGTGCGAGGCAGCCCCTCTGAGCAGGGCTGCTAACAAGATGTACCGGATTATTTCCTTTATTCTGCAATGTAAATCTCCTCAGCAGGTGTCCTCCTCTGTGAATGTTCCTGTGTGAAGGGTGTGCTTTGGTCTTCTGACTTTCCAAATAAGCCTCCTACATGAGCCTGGGGGTCGGCAACGTTATTTGAGTGATCACACGGCCTTAAGCTTGGCCTTAAATAATTCCGAAATCATTTACTGATAGGGCCTTATTTTGCTCCTGAGTAAATGCTACAACCACTTTACGTCTAAAACACCAGAAAAAAATTTACAAACACTTATTTTTCTGTTGTGCACAGAATGTAGCAAACTTCATGTGGGCATCTGATGCACGGAGTGAGTGCCTCCTGCAGCCAGGAACTGCAGGTATGGTCATCATTCCCCGCACTCCCACAGCTTCTCACTCCTGCCCTTTTTAAGTCTCAGAACTTCTGGAAGAATGTGAACTGACCTGACTTGAAGAGAGTTACTGAATGTGCTTTGATTTTTGATATAAAATCTATTTTATAGCTACTATGCAGTAGTAAAAAAGTAACTAACACTTGTAATGGAGTGCAGACACTCTATCCACTTTTACTCTTGGCTGGTAACTGCAGAATTTTCTGATTTAACTGCACATGTAGCTCACACTCTGAACAAATTTTGACCATTACTGATATATATCTCCAAAACATGAAAGAAATTTCCTCTCTCTTTGCCTGCTTACCATAAGTCATGTTTTATACATTCAGAGACCACCCTGGCTTCCTCTGTCCTATCGCTCCACAGTATCGAGGGCAGCTTGTTATCTACTACCTTTTTTCCTATCTTTATCAATCACTTCTCTGGTTTTACCTAAGAGTGATTGAAACATTGAAGATAAAATGCAAAGCAATAACACTTTTCTAGTCTTTGGCACCTGTCACACACTGCATGGTTTTCCAGTCACTACCAGCAACCAGAGATCTCCAGTCAATTCTGTTAAGGTTCTTAAAAGTTGTAAAAAACAGCGAGTTTTTGTATCTACCACTGCTAACTGATATTCAACACACTCCCCAGTTATCATCAAACAGAAAAGTACTTTGGTAGCCTCCTATGTTATAAAAAATGACCCTGATTGCTTTTGAACATAGAACAGGCTTGAGCAGTAACTGCAGGGCACGGACTGTGACTCCCTCCCGTTCTCCAGAGGGGGGTCTCTTTAGTTATCATCGAACAGAAAAGTACTTTGATAGCCTCCTATGTTATAAAAAATAATCCTGATTGCTTTCAAAAACAGAACAGGCTTGAGCAGTAATTGCAGACTGCAACTCCCTCCCGTTCTCCAGAGGGGGGTCTCTGCCCGATGGTGGCCATGGACCCACACACCTGCACCCAGGCTGGGCTTTAGGGTATTTCCATGTGCTTTGCAGCAGGTCTAAACAGCCCCAGGTGCCTGTACTCCTTTGTAGGCAACACTAAGAGCAGTTTAAGAGGAGGGTGTGAGAAGGCAATCCTTGCCCTCGGAGGCTTTTCATGTTTGAAGTGTTGTCTAACACAGAGAATTAATGTGAAATGATGGTTTTAAGGGAGTCCCTAGTGTTCCCAGTTACATCTCCTGGGGGCAACTACGGAGAAGATTTGTGATCTATAAAAATAAGATTATCAAACTTAAAGATCTTCTCGCCTGTTCAACCTTTTTGGGTCTTACAAGCAGTAAAGTAAAAATTGGTATCACACAGTGGAGATGACTCTGGCATTCATTTTATCCTACATTACATAAAAGGGGAACTAGATGGTCATTAAGTCAGTCCTCCAGTAGCAAGACACACAGACTCCAATGTTACTCATCCCACTTCGATCACTTAATTTGTTCTCCTCCTACATTCCCATGCTGTGCCTTAGTTTTTCTCCTCGTTCAGTCTCAAGTGGTAGAGCAAACATGAACTTGTCCTTTCTGCTTCATGCAGAGAATTGCACCTAGTCGTGACTCGTAGCTCTGCCAACACTCAACCTTCTCTTGCACCTACAAAGTTATCTTGGGAAAACAGTAAGAAAAGGTGTGTTTCCCATCTACCTTGAGAATCCAACACATGATTCAGAGCACAAAGTATAAGTACTTTGGAGGTTCCTCTAATCCTCTTATTCATGACTACCAGGTTTCTAGATAAATGCCTGCAGTTAGATACCCCTGAGCCTAAAGCAGCTGCATACCAAACCCCGACTGACCCAGCTCTACACACAGCTTGTCTGGAGGTGCTTAGGAACAGGCTGATAGCACATGCGTGTTTACAAAGACTTTTTGGTGCTGCTCTGCTAAAAACTGCCCAAAAGCAAGGACTTAATGCAAGTCATGACGGCTCTCTGAACAGCCCAGCTCCCGGGGCAGCAAGCAGGGAGTGCTCAGTGTCATTGAAATTCAACGTCCACAGGCATGAATGGGAAAACACCTAAGGTAGGTGTCCAAAAAAACACAACAGAAGACTATTTTGAAATTTTGTCTCTCTTGTGGACTTAACTGCTGATGTACAAGTCTAGAAAGGAGACTGTTCAAAACCAGGAGTCTACAGCCCTCTAATGGTTCAAGAACAGGCTGGCTCCATTCCACCACCACTAGTAACATGAAGAAATGTGTAGACCTGGGCACTTCTGCAAATCTGTGCCTAATCCTTTACTGCTCAGTGGCTTGTCCAGGCCAAAAAAGTATCCCTAAACCATTTTAGAAAACTGCTTGAATACATATTAAGGGTTAGGCAAAAAGTAATGGTTTGAACTTACTCTCTGAAGTTCCCTTGGGTGCTACTGACTAATCTCAGGGACCATGTATGTATACAATTGCATGAGTTTATAGTATGTCACAGTCTGGGCTAAATAATCCTCCTAAGAGAAGGAGAAAGTCCCCTATACTATAGCTTTCTGAAAGGCAGTTACACTCAGTGTAAGGGTGGGAATTGAGAGTGCTCTGTTTTCATAAGGCAACATGTCATTTACTTTGAAACAGGAGAAATGAAGCTTTCACTTAATATACAGTTATTTAACATCACTTCGCATTTGCACCCTCAATTACTGCACAAAATTTTCCACTGCAGGCAAGCCCTTGTAATTCATAAATGATCTCAGTGATGACAGAATAGTCTAATGTTTGCAAACCTAGAAGGTTGCCCCTCCCCTTTTTCTGTTTTTGCTATACAGTCTTACCAATGTTGTTAGACAGAGATAAAAATGCAGTTCATATGGTTGCCTGAGCGGTTTATAATTCTGCCATCATTCCTGCTTCCCCATATTTTTTATTGGGACTATTTTAAAACTGTACTTAAATCATTGGCATCTCCATACAATTCTCAGAAAGTGATCTGGCATTTCTTAAATTCTTTTGAGAAGTCTCAACTCTACAGCCACAGATCAACGCTGTTGCTTGAATAAATAAACTCAATGTCTATGTGTCTCTTAAGTGTCTCGTCTTGTCCTCTTAAGTGTTGCATTTACAGTGTGGCTAATTGCATTTTTAGATTCCCAACACTCCTGGCACCAATTTCTGCTACTCCACAAAAGGAGCTAGTTTCATAATTACTCTGTATCAACCCCATTGTTGGGAAATCAAATTCTCAAGGAACTTTATGGATACCACACTCCGTCAAGGCACTCTTGTTCAAATTGCTGCCAGCATGATGTCTTTCACTGTTAGCTGTTCCTTGATGGAATTTAATAAATATTCATTGGCAGAGTGCAGTGTAATTGATTCAGGGACTTTCATTTTTTATCAGCCCTGCAGGATGCCACAGCCTCTGCAGAAAATCTCCAAGATTTGCAAAAGGTTGACAGTAAGAAGCTTTGGAGATTCACTTGATGAAGAGAAGGGAGAGAAATAGTATCTCTTATCGCCATGTCTAATATCCATTGTCAGAAGGAAAAAGCTATATGGTTCTTTGGATGAGCAATGTGCCTCATATAACACACTTTAAAAATTCACAAGTTCATAAAGTAAAATATTAAATGAAATGTTATGATATCAAAAAGGTTTATGATTACAGAATAGAAATTTATACTGAAAAATGTTTTTTAATAAAAATTAGGATACATTGCGTTAATATTTATTTCTGTTTATTGTACAGAAGATTTTCCACTACTCACGAATAGTGATTTACATTTACTTTCAGTATTCACCATCCTCGGCACTAGAAGCCTAATCTTTTTGAACTTTCCATAAAGCTTTTTAACTCCCCCTGCAGCATCCTCACCCACACTGCATTGCATTTAGGACTACTGGAAGTCTAGTTTCAGTAAACATCCTGCTTCTGCAGTCCTGCTCATGGAACCAGGCCTTGTACTGGCTCTTTTGAAGAAAGGGTCAGAGTTGACTTTAGATCTAATACATATATCTGATACATCTTCATTAAAAATGACAAACTGCAATATGGATTAAACGTTATTATCTGTATAGAAGTATTAAATTTTGTGATATCGATAGGGACTTAAATATATATAGCCCACTAGAATCAGACTTTGCATTTCATCTTACTGTTTCTTTCTGTTGCTTTTGAAAAATGCTTCGTTTTCAGAGTTCCCTGAGGTAACAGCTCTACGGCTTGAACCCAATTAACCTGTTAGTCTAACCATCACCTCGCTGATTTTCCATCTAGTTTTGTAAGAAATCTCTCCGTGGCACAAAAGGGAGCACATAGTGCCAGGCTCTGCACCTACCAGAATGTTCTTTTGTAAACATGTAGTTTAAAAGATACGTATTATGGATACAGTTATCTGCTTGTAGACACCGATGCATAAAAAAAGTGACTGTAATGAATTACAGAGAATGAAAAATTTGCTAATCCTGGCAAACTGAGGCATATACTTCATTTGTTTCTTTTCAGTACCTCTTATGTCAGATTTGCTTTTATTGTGATACACTGTGAAAAAACCCCAAAATTTCTATAACCTTTTTCTTTCTTTCTTTTTTTTTAAATGTTGTTCACTTACTGGAATGCCAGTGAAGGTAACTGGAGGCGACTGCCAAGAGATGCTAAAGCTACTGCCATTGGGAGTGAATTTTGCTGACCCTGGAATGTTCACCGGAGGAGTGGCCTGTGTGAAAAGAAAATATCATTCCAGTAAGAAGAACCATTCCTCTTCCAAAGCATCTCAGGGGATCTTTCGCTCCTCAAAACTGTAAATCTCTGAAAGGCTTTCTGAGGTGGAAAAGAACGCATGGGGACAAGCATTTTACCCTTATGAGGGGGATATCATGCATAAACCAGTAAGGAAAGGACATATTTATATATCACTGTTCTTAAAACTTTGTTTAGAGAAAGACGAAAGCCAGTAAGGAAAGGACATATTTATATATATCACCATTCTTAAAACTTTGTTTAGAGAAAGACGAAAGCTCTCACAAAAATCCACACAAAACCCTTTAAAGTGAGATCTGACAAAAAACCCACACAAAATCAAACATTATTTACAAATAACTTTTAAAATAATGCCATATAGTAGCGAAAAATATTACAAATGATCACCTATTCCCCAGTGACAAACAAGGCAGTATTTAAACTGATGGCAGGTGGTTTAAACAACTGAAGACTGGCTGGTGAGTCTTGGTGGTCAATAAGGTTAACGATCAACAGTAAGGGTTGGCCATTTCTTATTTATCAGATAAATGTTGTTAACAATCATTCTAATTAAAACAGTCTTTCCTGTTAAAATCAAGGAGCTGAAAACCATCCCTGGGGTTCAAAAATGGAGCTCTTAAAAGACTAAGCTAAAGCAAATATTTGAAGGACCCCTGTGCACCTTGAACCCTTAGCTCTTCCCATCTGGACTGTAATGCCCAGTGCTGCCCTGGGGTGCGACACCTGATAATCTGAGCTCAGACCGTTGAGGATCTGTCACCTTCTGCCTTCTCTCTGGTTTTCTCACTGAGATCTGAGCCCTCAGAAATTCTCCCCTACACATTTTTGAATCCCATTTAATTTACAGTCAGGAAATTCACACCTCTGCAGTTACCCTGCCCAGCTGGAGCCCAAGCAGCCACCATGAACACAAGCTCCTTTTGACTCTTGAATTTCAAGCTTTCACCCAAAAAAACCGCCAGGCTCCTTGGTTTAAACTTATAAAGACCTTGCTATTAAAAATGACTTCTTTACTTCTGCTTTTCAATTGCCTGCGCCTGACAATTAACGCAAGACACTTATTTAAGGAGTGTTTGTGTTTGAGGCTGCTGAAGTTGTCTCCCAGCTTCAGGGAAGCCGCCAGGCAGAAAGCAGTGATGACAAACTACAACCTGATAGTCCCCCATTAAAGATAATCTTCAGAGTAAACAAGTGCTGAAGCAATCCCCTGGAGTCTCTCCAGGAAAAAGAAACTGGGGCTGCTGGCTGCCTCTGGCTGCGGCGGCGATGCTCTGCGGGCTGCCCAGCCTGCTGACAGCTCCAGGAGAATCCACACAGCCACCAGGAGCAGCGGCCACTGAGCTCCATAAAATAGAAAGACCTCGCTGAAAGGCATCAAGAAAAATTTGGCAACTCCAGATGGTACCAGCAGTGCTTCATCAAAACCCTGTTCAATCAGGAAGGAGCGAATGACCACGGCGCTCCTGCCAGAAAGAACTGGAGGCAGCTGGGTGGCAGGGAGCTCAAAGCTGGGGCAGCACAGTGCCTTCCTCAGACCTGCATCCTTGATGCTCAAAGAGCCTGCCTGTAGTCCCTCTGCAGCTAAATTTAACAGGTACAGGCACTGGTTTCATAAAGAAATGTAAACCAGAATCATAGAATAATTTTAGTTGGAAAAGACCTTTAAGATCACCGAGTCCAACCACTAACCTAACAGGGTCAAGTCCACCACTAAACCATGTCCCTCAGCACCACATCTACATGTCTTTTAAATACCTCCAGGGATGGCAGTTCTACCACTTCCCTGGGCAGCCTGTTCCAAGGCTTGACAACCTTTTCGGTGAAGAAATTTTTCCTAATATCCATCCTAAACCTCCTGTGGTGCAACTTGAGGCCATCTCCTCCTGTCCTACTGCCCATTACTTGGGAGAAGAGACCAACCCCCCCCCGGCTACACCCTCCTTTCAGGGAGTTGGAGAGAGCGAGAAGGTCTCCCCTCAGCCTCCTCTTCTCCAGGCTGAACACCCCCAGCTCCCTCAGCCTCTCCTCATAAGATTTGTGCTTATGCATGAGACGTTTAAAATTGCTGTAATTTGCAGTAACCTAAAATGCTCAGTTCTCTTTTTCTCATTGCCTAAATATCTGCCTCAGACACGATCAGATTTAGACAGTCAATCACCTTCTTCATTTGTTTCCTAGACGTGCATCTTTGCTCATCAAGCACAGCCACCTTCTTCAGGCTAATACTTCCTACAATCTCTTCCATGAGGTAAGCAACCTTAGCATCACAATGAACTGAAGAGTTTCTATACCCCAATCTCACTTCACTTGGAGACCTCCATCTAATTTCCAATCAAAATACATTCATGGATAATTTATAATTATTTATTTGTGCCAACATTGCCCTTATATTGAAATAGCACAGGCTTGTCCTCTTCTCCTCTCGGGTTTTTCCTCTCACTTTCTTCCCAGGCAGCAATCCCATCCTCTCCTCACCTTTGCTCTGCCCAAGCAGTCTGTCCCTGGGCTGGAGAGACCCTCCGTGTCCTCCCTGCCCTCCTTCTTCACTCTGATCACCTTCTTTCTACTAGCTTCTAATTGGAGCCCAGCATCCTTGAACTTGGTTGACCAGAACCCTACTCAGGATCTCAGCTGAAGTTATCCAGGGGTCTTGTACCTGGCACTGAAAGTCCCTGTCTCTCCTACATATTTCTTTACCAAGAAAGCCAACAACTTTTTTTTCCCCATTCACAGACCTGTTGTTGTTGGCTGTACTGCTCACGTCCCCTGAGTTCATTATCAGCAACGTTTATTATAGTATTTACATATAGTATTTGTCTAGTACCAAAATGATTTAATGACAATGAGATCAGGCCCAAATACAGCTTTTTTCATTCAACTCCACTAAAAACATCCAAACTTGCAAAATAATGTGCTGCAGTTCCCCCTAACTCCCCAGCTCTCTCTCCTACCCTACATTTAATCTCTAGCCTAACTACTGCCTGTATGTTTTAAGATCAAATGCTCTCCTCAAATCCAGAGGGATTTGTTCTTCTGTACTTCATCATTTACAAAGCTACCTTGTCCGAGGAAGATGTTAGACTGTTCTAGCATAATCTTTCTTTGGGGTTCCTCCACTGCAGTTCACCTCATTTGCTGTACTTTCCACAATTCCTTCAATTATTCCTTTAAATCCTTCCTCATCCATAGGTCTGGGAGAGAGAAGAGAGTCAGGACTCGCCTGATCCCTCCCCCACTACACCTTCCTTACTACAGGTATTATATTTGCCATTTTCCAGTAATATGGGAAATGCAATTAACTGAACTGTTTAAGATTCTGCGACCCAGCTTTGGGTTCCGTATTTTTTTCTGTCTTTTAGCAGGAATCCTGGGATGCACGTTATTCAGCCTCTCTTATCTGAGTTTGTTGAGCTGTGAATTTTGCTTCTTCACTCTCAATGAAGTAAGTTTCACTTTCATGCTCTCATCCATGTGAGAGATTGTCTTCATAACTACATCCCAGAACCTAAAGGGAGCCTACAGGAGATGGGGAGGGGGCTTTATCAGGGAGTGGAGTGACAGGATAAGGGGTAACAGTTTTAAACTGAGAGGAGATTTAGATTAGATATTAAGAAGAAATTCTTTGCTGTGAACAGGTTGCCCAGAGAAGCTGTGGCTGCCCCATCCCTGGAGGGGTTCAAGGCCAGGCTGGACGGGGTTTGGAGCAACCTGGGCTGGTGGGAGGTGTCCCTGCCCAGGGCAGGGGGTTGGAACCAGATGATCTTTAAGGTCCCTTCCAACTCTGACCATTCTATGATTCTACTATTCCTGTTCAATGCTTCATTTCAGTTTTGATACAGATAATATTTTTATCAGAAGTGAAAAAAAGCTTTAAGATCCTGCATATGGCTAACTCCAGCAAGGAAACTGCAGGAAATGCGGTGGTATTAAAGATGCTGTCATCACATTCTCTCCTATTCCATTTCACACAACAGATCAGTCACAAGAATGCCTAAATGCTAACAGTGGAAGCTGGGCTCAGTTCCTCCTCTTGCTGTTGAGGGTTGAAACTCCACTTTGACTCCCAGAAAGTGCTCTTCTTGCTGGGGTAGAGGGACTCTAGCACAAGATGCCACTGCTCTGCAGAAGCTGACTCCTTTGCAAGGAAAACCTGAACGTGATCTGGGCAGGGACCCCATCTCCTGCTTCCAACAGGAATGCCTTGAAACAGTTTGGACTGCATCACTCCTCGCTGATGAAACGAAGTATTGAAACCACAGCAATAGGAAAAGGAGACAGGGCTCGCTCAGACACTTGCAGTCTCGTGTCATGGAATACATCAATTCAAATCCAATTCAAGCGGCTTAAACATACAAACCAGGATTTCCTTAGGCAAGTGCTGTACTCAAAGGCTGCTTATAAAAAAGGATCAGGTGAGTCTCCAATTGCAGGGAACACTGTAACAACTGCAAACTCTTCTCAACAGCCTAGACTTGGTGCTGCACCCTGTGAGATATCTCCCACCTGAGATGCAAACTTCCACCCACGCTGTCTGTTGTGAACGAGAGCCTAAAACAAGCCTGTGAATTCTGTGTGGTTCCCTCTGCCCTTTTAGCAGGTCTGCTCTAGGCACACAACAAAAAGGTTTCACCTGCACAATGCTGTATGCCAAAGTTATTTCATCTGATAAATTTAACTGAGTTCAGTTCTCCGGTGCATACACAGGTCATAGACCACACTACTTCAAAGCTTCTACTCATCTTTTCTCATATGGCATCCAGACTAAAATATGTGAAGTTTTAGTGCACTTTTACAATTAATTCTTTCTGTCTGAACTTAGTTGGAAGTTTTTTGAACAGCGGTTTTTGGATCTGATTGGATTTTTGCCATTTGCAAAGCATTACCTCTAAGAGTAGGACACCACACATGCCTTTTCATTCTTCCTGCCCTACTCCACATACGCAAACTGACATCTCACACTGTACACATAAAGGAAATGAATTGTTTCTGGTATCCCTTGGGTACAGGCCTACAGATGCATGCAGTCCAAGCTGAGCTGAAATGAAGGCTCTGGCAGGGATTTGGCTGATGGAATGAGAATGTTTACAGCGCAGGAGACCGCATGTGAGCATGTCAGCTTGCACCCTCCTTATGGTCATTAACTGATGTAGGCAGTAGGATACACACAGCAACTCTTCTCAACCTGAAGTATGCACCTATGTGTGGCTAAATAAATGATGTGTGACACCCCAAAATTCACCAGCTATGGTGGGAGCACAGACAGACTAGCTCAGAAGCAGACACCTACATCTAAATGAGATGAACTGCCTGGGCTGCCCCGAAAACGTTTCAACCCATTAAAACTAGACTTGGCTTTTAAAAACTCAAACGTTGTGATCTGACATTTCTTTAGACATGAATGACATGAGTGTAATGAGTGGAGCTCGCTGTCACTAGCGTTACCTGGTAAGCATGGTCCGTGTGTACGAGGTAGAGGTTGGTCGGAGCTGAGCGGCTCAGAGGTGTCATCAATTTAGTCTCGGTTTTGGCACAGGAAGTTTCAGGACGGATTGCGTCTGGGGTGGGAAAGGAAGGAGGAGATGCTAAAGATGGAGAGACTGGGGAAAGACTGCTTAAGCCATCAGCTACTGAGTCCGTGTTGAGCCTGATTTCTGTGTAGTAAAAATCCTCCTCTCCATCGCTGTAGTCAGACTCTCCTACACGTCTGTATCAAGACAAAGAATGAAGGTCCGATTAAATGAAAGCAAGAACCCCGAGGAAAATTTTAAGTTCTAGATGCATAAGCAAATACATTAAAACTGCCAATAAATTAATATTCCCAGTTTCAATGCTACCAGCATTCTGGCTGCAGGGAAGGGGGAGAGGAAAAGAAAATCATCTAGTCTGAAGGGAAAAGGAGCAGGAATATGATTATTTTTTTCCTGTGTTATTCTGACTAATTCTTTGCCCTTGGAGTCGATGTTTAACTTCTACGATTCAGCTTAAATACCAGCTTCTCATTCCTAACTATTGAAGTTAATAAGAATCTCAATGCACTTTGACTTTAGAAATGACAGAGCAGTCACAGAAGGACGGGCAAAGATAACAAACACATGCAAGATACACCTCGCTAATGTTATGGCAAACAATATGTAATCTTATCACAGGTTACTTAATTAAACCAAATATAGTTATGGCTGCGGTTCACCGTAACTTTCCTTGGCGTAACAGAAGAAGCTGCTGGAAAACAGGCTCATCATACAATCACTCAGACACAGGTAATGAAAGGACATAGATGGGCTGGCTTGCCAGTGCAGGACCTACTCTCCAGAAGCAGATTTACTGAAGGAGGAGATGTAAAAGGCTTAACTGCTTCTGTGTCCCCTGGCACTATCTGCTGTGTGTCTGAGCACAAGTGCCAGGAGCAAAGCAGCCCAGTCAAACAGGTAGTTCCCAGTACATGTTATTTTGAAGTCCCAAATAAACCACTATTTCAGTACATTCATACATACAGACTTAACTCACAACTCACACATATGTATTTTCTCCTCCATATGGGAAATTTGGGAGCCCTAAGGGTCCTCCTGCCTGCATGTCCATACCAGGGCTGAATGCTGGGCCTCTCTGTCTCCAGGCATGCACCCCAAGAACAGCCCCATGCCAGTTCCTCAGCCTGCTACCTGTGGTCCTCTTGCCACCTTACTCAATCAAACTCATTATGAGTATGGGTTCAGCAGCTTTGCAAGCCCTGTCAGAAGTACTGCCCGCCAGACTGCTGCCAGTCACTCACCAAAACCCCTCTCTCCCCCAAAGTTACAAGCTCTGAACTCTAGGGAAGTTCTGCTGCTTGCTTCTCCCCTCTCCTATGCCACGAAAAGGACGTCCCCAAAACGTTACAGGACAAAGCACAAGACTCGTAACTGCATTTGGAGAGATCTTCTCTGTTTCTGATAGCCTCACTTTTCAGAGCCTAAGCCCAACAGCAATTACCACAGCCTTGGCAAGACTGTCCCAAATTCCACACCAAACTACTTCCTCAAGGCCACTTTAAAATTAAAGCACTGAATAACACAGACTTACACAAGAGAGATGTATTTCCCCATACCTAACAGGTGAAGACCTTGAGTCCCCACTGTAATTATACACAAGACAGCGAGGTCACTCAGTGCAGGACATTTCAGTTGCAAACTAAAGCTCTAAAACAAGCTTGTGTCATACAAGATTCATTTGCTTTTGCTTCTAGTCCAAGTCACATACACATGGAATTGCAGCTCAGTTTCTTTTTCTTAGGTTTCTTAGGTGGTTGGGGTTTTTTTCGGCATTAATTTGACTCAGAACTAGCACAAGCACCTGATCTGATGTGAAACAAGGCAGGAAAGTATTCATGCAGGACCCCGAAACCTGCCGTTTTTGCACAGTGTCAGCCTGGATGTGACATGTGGGTAGCACGGGTGAAGTAAATGCCACTGTGCTGTGCAGCCGTTAAGGGACATGCAATGTGACCTAGAGTTGTATTTGACCTTCTAGAGAAGTCCACAAAGTTCAGGAAAGAAGGTGCCTCGCTGTTGGAGGAAGTTCTTGTTCACCTTGAGGCACTGTGCTGTAATTTCCTCAGAAACTGAGAGATGGGAGACAGAAAAGCCAAGGACAATTCAGCTCATGTCCCCAGCCAAGTGTGACTGCTCCCCGCTTCCACCAAAGCCTTCAGACCTCTGCAGAGCCTGCTCTCTTACCCAAGATGAACGGTCCGGATGTGTTTCTGGATCCCCGCAGCTGTGCTCAGTACCTTCCCACAGTTCTTCCACAGGCATTTGAACATCACCTTCATGGAGTTCTGAAAATGATGAGTAAAGCAACCTTAGATGTAGGGAAGGTAGAAAGAAAAACAAACCACCCCAAACAGACGCAGTTACAAAACACTGTGAAGGTTCAAGGGCCTGTAACTCCAAATTTGTAATGATGTAATATAGTCCCTGTCATCAGTGTCATCCTACTGAACTGAACAGAGTCCCAGCAAAAAGCAGCAGGAGCAGCCTGTGACACAACTTGACTTCTCTCCACTCCTTGGCACAGCTTTTTCATTTGCAAGTCCCAGTCTCTATCTCCCCATAAAGGAGGCAGATGATATAGAAACTTCCTACGTTTCTTTGGAGCCTTTCAAAGAACAACTGATAAGGACTTCTTACTTAATGCAAAGCATCCTCCTTAATTAAGATCTTCCTAAAGTGAGCTCTGATGGATATTTCTGCTCATGAATTTTGCAACACAAAAAAAAATATTGTGCTGGAAAACCATAGGTTCTGCAATGACAATATTCACCCATGAGCTGGTGAAACCTGCTTTTATTTCATTCAAAAGCTGCTGTGACCCTTACTTGGCAAAGAGAATAAGAAGCCATCTGGCTGTGTTCAACATTTTTTAAAAGAATATGTGTATAATCTCATTTTAATACTCTTGTTATATTCTTTAATATCATTTCATTGGTCTAAACTGAGTTATCATTGATTGAGAGCACAGCCAGCAAGGCTATAACCAGCCCAATCTTCAATATTTTGAAGACTCTGGAGAAAACTCATCTGAAAGCAGTGTGTGGTAACAAACAGCACAGATGTCACAGAACTGTACACATTTTTTTAAAAGCTAATTTTCCTCCAAAATTAAACCTACTTTCTAAATTTTAAATTAAAAAAACCCCTAAATATTTGTACTCAAAAATAATTTTCTCTATTATTACCACATTATTAAAGCTTGATTTAAAAAAAAAAAAAAAGGAACAAGCACATCCTTAGAGTTAAGTTCATGCTTCACTGTGTCTTGAACATAAGTTGACTTGGTGCTTTCTTCAATTTGGACCCTTTGGAACTGCATGCCAGTAGATGGTAAGTTTCAGCACATGCCAGAAAGATTATTTTTAGAATATAATTTTAAAAAATCTCAACTGCTTTTTTAAGATACAAGTTGATTGTAGTACATGTTCTCATAGTTACTTGTCAGTCTAACATCTCCTGTTCCAAAGTATGGATGCTAAGGGCTTTTAAGATTTGAGGTACCTGATTATACTGTTTGTATGAAAACCTTCTACTTTGGAATACGCTGCCCATAAATTCCCTCTAATTTTTTGATCTGAGAATACAGCTCCCATTCAAATAGAAACGTAACTCTTTTTCTCTAAAATTAAATCAAATCTATCTAGCAGTTCTGAGGGAGACACTTCTTTACTTTTACAACACAACATTAAGTACTATCATCGCTCAAAAACCCACAACCAGCCACGGCCACAAGATGAAGACCATGTTTATAATTTGCATTTTAGGAATTCTGGTATGACACCATGAACGCTGAATGCATCTTTATGAACACAGAGTGGTTTAACATCAATCTCCAGTCTGATGGTAAAATCTATCTCCTAGCTCCACTGTGTTTTTGGTTTTATTGTCAGTGCTAGGAGTCTGCAAACACCCCTGCATTTTAACGTAACCAAATGAAATCTCACTCAGTAGAAATACAGAACATAAACCATGCTTCCATTTCTGATTAGTCCAAAAATTGCCTAATCAGGCTTAATATTTTATTTAAGAAAATAATGGAACACAAATGGCTTGGTGAGGAATAACTACATCAGTGGAAACTTTTAAGCAAATTATGTTCTTAATGAGAAGTGGTCATTAACACAACATTTTCCAAACATAAAATGGAAGAAACACTAATGAGTAAAAGTAAGGTTACCAATCAATCTATTTCCAGGTTTATTTCTTCTGATTTTTGCAACCTTGAAGAAGAAATAACCTGAACATCTTTATTTCAGCTTCTAAAGATGCGAAGCTGTACTCATATAAATTACTATGTTGGGGTCAGAATAAAAAAACATGCAGGAAATGCAGTTAATTCATAAAACAAAGTTTGTCAGGTAATGTTATTATTTATCTAAATTAAACATTTGCCATACCGAGCAAAATCCCCCCAACCAGAACAGACAGCATAATAGATCTGTGGTGGGTATATAAATAGAAATATATGAAGACAACTTAGAAAACAATAAGGTGGCAGCTGCAAACCCATCTGTCTCATCACAGCTGAGCCATAAGAGCGATGCTAATAAGCTGCACTTGAACCAAGAAGGCAAACCAGCACACTTGTGCATTCCTACTCATCCTGTCCCACACCCCCCAAAATCTTCTCTGTCTTTAGTTTAACACCCAGCGCTAACTTCTACTTTATTATAACAAAGGTGTCCTCCAAGATATTTTTTTTTCCTTTTCAGCGAGAAGCACAAACATCTCACACCCCTCTCTCACCAACAAGGGCAGAACAGTGTGGGTCAGCAAATAAGCAACTTCTGGAGCGAAAGGAGAAATGTGAACAGGTTTAAACCATCATTAAAACTTCTTCCTGCTTGTGATGAAGCAATGAACTGTCTCAGACTGAGCCAGAAGCAAAGTCAGTAAGGAGAACAAATTCTCTGTTTTTTCTCCTTACAAAAGCCCTTTTTCATCTTGCTATGTAAAATCTGTCCTGCTGCATTGGGAGGGAAGGAAACTTGGACTAATGCCAGCTCTTTGTTTTCTTTTTCTTTGAAAGGAGCTTGCTTGCTAGCATAACTGTGCTTTTTGGGGGTTAGCTTTGGACTTGGTTGTTTTGGGGTTTTTTTCTGTGTTTTATTTAGTCTGCTTTTGCACTCCTACCTAGGATAAATTTGGGCACTGCTAATACTGCATCGAAAGCCATCAGGTTTGATCTCTCTCTCTCCTTTTTTTCACTCCATATGTTTGCACAGAGAAAGCTTCACAGTATTAAGGTATCTGACATGCTGTCAGACAAATAGCACTTTCAGGGAACAAGAAGTATTAAGGCCACATCCAGTTTTTGTGATGACATGTAAAGGCTGCCTGTTGCATCCTGCATACAAAGAATTTGCCGAAGTAGGATAGAAATCCCTTGAATGGCCAGAGGCAACACCTTCTGGAAATCACTCTAGTGTTTTCTGAGCAGGAGGCTCTGTAGAACCTCGCCATCTGCCAGCAAATATGTGATGCTGATGGCAGCATGTGCGTGCAGCAGGTGACTAGGTAGAACAAGACACAGCCACTAGGCCAAGTTCTGACATTAATTGGATGCCAAGGAGGGATGCACACACAGAGCTCTTTGGGTGACCTGTTCCTTTCTCGCAGCAAAATATGTCTACCAACATCCTATCTGCCTGTGGGTATGGAATTTAACGAGAGGCTAACCTTTCTCTTCCTAGGAATGGGTTCATCAAAGAGAAGGTTGCTTGTTTCAGCTTCATCAATACCATCATCTGGCTGGGAAGGTGTCCGAAAAGCTTTGAAGCTATCAGCTGACAGAGGTGGAGATGGGGTGGATGGGTTGGACTGGTCACTGGGAGCATTCCAGCTCCAGTATCCACTGCTGCTGGTACTTGAAGGCACAAATCCTCCTTCTTTCCAAGATCCATTTAGGGATTCTGTCAAGAACAACAACAGCCATCATTACAACAGTATCACGTGTTAGGGCTAAGTACTCTTTTATCTCAGGCTTAGATGCCATGTTGGTAATTAACTGTACGTTCAATAAAGGAAAGCGAAAGCCCTAGGTGTAGAGAGGACAACCACATCTGTCCCACTGCACACGCATCACATATTCCACACTTGATTTTCTATGTGTTTTTAAAAATCAGGTATTTTTTAAAAAAGAAATGCTGAGTTTGGAAAAATAATGCGTTGGAGTACAAACCACAATAAGGAGGCAGATACTGCATCCACCATTAAGGGAAAACTTTCAAATACATCCTCAGCTTTAAACAGGAGCACATGACTGTGGTGGGGCGTCAGAGTGAGGTCCAAGCCACTGCATGGCCAACACAAGGTCCCCTGGGAAGGAAACATATACCCTGAGCCCCAGGACACTAACTAGATCTACAAACCCATGATCATCATCCCAGTACTAAAACACCAAAGAAAACCATGAGTACGCTCTGTCTTCTCATTATCTCCCAGCGCACACACCTCCGCCTAATTTGAATCTCTAATTGGAGTGGTGCATATCCTTGGAAGGATACCCCTTTTTCTTCACACACGTGTATTGTTAGGCATCTGGTTTTGGAAGCGGGACGCACAGGCGCTGGGTCACCTCCACACCTACTCGCTGGAGGAACTCCCTCCTCACTGCAGCAGTTCCCCTCACCTTAGGGAGAAGCAGAGGCTCAGACTAAGGGGTTACTCACAACATGGTGGGTGGGACAGTCTGAGGCACGGCTTGAGCCATGCCTCCTGTGCTGAGGTCCTCCAGCATGGCGTGTCACTCTTCCCGGTCCCTAAAGGGCTTTTGGAAGAGGAGTATGCAGGCCACCAGCTCAGCAAAAGCATGGCTGAAGCACGTCCAGCCGTGCGACCACGGGCAGCTCTGCCTGAAGCTTCAGGTTCTCACAGGGCTTGGGCACACGTGCAGGGATGGTTTACAGAATCACAGAATCTTAGTGGTTGGAAGGGACCTCTGAGATCATCGAGTCCAACCACAAAAAAAAACAAACAACAAACAAACAAACAAAAAAACCAAAAAAACCCCCACCAAACAAATACAAAACACACCACACCAAACGCCCACCAAAAACACCGCACCCACCAACTAAACCCCACACTCAACACCTCACCATAAACCAATAACCTTGGGCACTAGAGCAGGCCCTGAAGAGCCATGTCTATACGTTTCTTAAATACCTCCAGGGATGGTGACTCCACCACCTCCCTGGGCAGGCTGTTCCAGGGCCTGACCACCCTCTCAGTAAAGTAGTTCTTTCTAATATCTAATCTAAATCTCCCTTGCCCCAACTTCTGACCATTTCCTCTGGTCTTGTCGTTCGTCCTTTGGGAGAAGAGGCCAACACCTGCCTCTCTCCACCCTCCTTTCAGGGAGCTGTAGAGGGCAATGAGGTCTCCCCTCAGCCTCCTCTTCTCCAAACTAAACATGCCCAGTTCCCTCAGCCTCTCCTCATAGGTTTAGGTACAGCTTCTCCCTAACTCAGGCTTTGGAGGCTTTTCCCAGTGACACTGTGGGTGCTCCAGTATTGTGTAATACCCGACTTTGGAGCTGGCAGGCAAATAACATCTTATCTCTTCCCAAAATGTTATTTAAGTGTGAGACGGGAGCCGCTTCAAGCCAGTGCCTGCCTTTAAGAGTTCTGCAGAAGTCACTCCTTCATTCCTTCTCGATTTCTTACAAATAAATTTAACCAATGACATCAGCAAGAAAACAATGTCTACCACCTGCTACTAAAAGCTTAAGCCAAAACCAATGGAATTTTTTTTCCTCCCAATTCAGTTGGTTTTGGACAAAACCCTTAAGCATTAAAATCAGCTGCTCACAAACCAGAACGCAGTATAAAAATACCCCCTTGCATGGGCAGCAGCCAAGGCCCTGCACTTACTGATCGGGGCCACAGAGAATAAATGGGATTATTCCTCCCTCTCCCAGGCAAATTCCTCTTTGGAAAAGGACACATACATTTCCAGTAGCTTGTAAGTTAACATACGAAAATGTCACATTTTGGTTCATGACTGCAGCCTTCCTGTGACTGTAATGGAGGTAGGTTTTGCTTCTTTTAAGTATTTGTATTTGAGTCTCATGCCATAGAAGTACATCTCGTATCAACTTGTGACCTCAGCATAGCTTAAAATTTCCAATTCTTCAGAAAAACAAAGGAAACAGTACTCTTTCAATTACTACTTTCTGAAACATTTATGGTACTTCACATTCTCAGGGTTCACAGCTTCTCCTCACCTTACTGAGAAAGAGATGTAAATCAAGAACATTTTTATAGTATGGAGAAGACTGAATGAGGCTGACAACAGGGAAAAAACAAACACTGGTTCTCATTAATACTAAAAAACCTGCCAATGTAAAGAAATTTAAAATATATATAAACGCAACTTACTCTTATTTTGGGGCTCTTTTCATGTTACTGGATTTGCATGAAAGAGAACCAGATCAAGTATTACTCAGCTGCAGGGTAACAATGGCCAAACTCTGATCCAGTTTACACGGGGGATCATTGCCAGTAATTCCAGCACAGACCAAACTTCAATTACAGATCACAGAATGGCAGGGGTTGGCAGGGACCTTTGGAGATCATCTTGTGCCACCTCCCCACCAAAGCAGGTTCACCTAGAGCAGGCTGAACAGGAACACATCCAGGCGGGTTTTGAAGATCTCTAGAGAAGGAGCCTTCTCTCTGGGCAGCCTGTTCCAGTGCTCTGTTACCCTTTGAAGTAAAGAAGTTCTTCCTCATGTTGAGATGGAATTTCCTGTGTTCCAGCTTGTGCCCATTGACCTTTGTCCTGTCGCTGGGCACAACTGAAAAGAGCCTGACCCCATCCTGTTGATACCCACCCTTTACATACTGGTAAGATCCCCTCTCAGTCTTCTCCAGGCTAAGCAGACCCAGGTCTCTCAGTCTTTCCTCATAACAGAGATGCTCCGTTCCCTCAATCACCTTCATAGCCCTCCGCTGGACTCTCGCCAGCAGTTCCCTGTCCCTCTTGAACTGGGGAGCCCAGAACTGGACATACTACTCCAGATGGAGCCTCACTAGGGCAGAACAGAGGGGGAGGATGACCTCCCTCCACCTGCTGGCCACGCTCTTTTTAATGCACATTTTAACCACTGCTGTTGAGTTCAGTGCATATGAGCAAATGAAAAAAAGCTGTTTGGAAAATTAGCACTCCTGTGAGGTCAGGAGACCTTCTGCAGCATTCATCTCCCACTGACAAAATGAGGCATCTCCCATTTCATAGACTGGAGCCGCTTTACAGTTATGGAAGACTTCTTCTGATTTCTGCCAACGCTGCACCAAAGACTTTGTCAGAGCAAAGCTCCCTCAGTACGATCCCCAGCACGCATGGACCACTGCCAGGAGACAGCCACTCACCCTTTGTCCTCCACCACACTGCCCTGGGTTGAGACACACAGGACTAACTTTTCTTCTAATGCTGGGGAAAACTGCACTTTTAGAAGACTCTAGGGACTGAATTTGTGAAAATATTTACTTTATAGCCCGTTAGGCTCTGTGGGATTCAAGGTTAGTGTTTTCAAGCCTTGCCAGGTGCAGGGACAAGGAGGAGCAAGGCCTGGGCATTGACCCAGGCTGGCCAACAGGATTATTTCATACCATGAACGTCCCGTTCAATATAAATTAGAAAAGTTTGCTGCGTAGCTCTCTCTCCCTTGATGGTGGTGGGTCCAGAGAACTCCTTGCCCCGGTGCCGGAGCCCTGAGGCCTTCCCTTCCTCCTGAAGCCATTGCGCTGGCAGTGTCCGCCATTTGCTGTCCCTGCTGGGAGCGCACGGCTCCTGCTGAGAGAAGGGGCTGGGGATAATTCCTGTATATTTTATATCAGTATTGGGATTAACACTGGTTCTTTAGCATTATTGTTAATTATGTAGTCTTAGTCTATTAAATCTTTTTATATTTCAACCCTTGTGTTTCTTTGTGTTCCCCGATTCCCCTTTCCGGGTGGGGAGGGGTCATCGGGTGATACAATAATTGTCTAAATGACAATAGATTGTTATGGGTTTTCTCAAACCATAACACATGGCCACAACTCCTGGAAAGAAGCTCCCTCTCCACAGCCCTGGCATCCCTCCCTGCAGCCCAGGCGCTGCTCTGAAGGCTTACCGTTGGGTCGGACAGGAGGGCTGCGGACCAAAGGGCTGGTGGATAAACTGGTGAGTACCATGGCTGCTGTTACTTTATCCATGTCCAGTTCTTCTGAAGATTTTCTGAAACACAGCGAATGGGAGGAAGGAAACACATCAGCAAATACTTAACTTTTTCTAGTGTTTTTATTTTTTTTTAATAGCAGTCCAGACCCTAAGCCAGTAATGGAAGAAAGCCACCAACCAGAGTTCTCAAAGCTTTTGTCTACTTTTAGCCACCTGAGCACACCAAGTGGCTACCTTAAGCAAACCAGCTCAGCATAAATAAGAAAGGCAGAGGGAAAAGAGAGCACATCTTTGTATAAAATTGTCGGGATCATTGTGACACTCCATTAGTTTGACCCTGTTCTCTTTTTCATTAATTTCAGCTATCCATATCCTTAAAGCTAAATGTCTAAGATTTCTTTTTTCTTGTATGAAGACATAGAGATGCAAAACCAGGTAAGATTACCAGGAATGTTAATAACTGTCATGGTCTCTGAGAAGCATTCAGCTGCTCTGTTGTCCTCTCCTGCAGGACTACGCTGACCGTCCCTACTCCTTTATCCAGCTGTGGATGAACCACTAATATTTCCACTTCCACAACATACGAGGACAGACTGAGCCCAGGTTCCCCGTACGCTGGAGAAGATGTTCCCTAGTGCTGGCAATCAGCTCCAACAAGGCCATTCTCTGGGTGGGACTAACATGGTCCTGTCCAGGCCTCTGCAGAATTGCAAAACCTCACTGCAGCAGTTGTTGCAAGCGCTTGCCAAGTCGGTATCAAGACGTCAGAGTCTAGACTCAGAGCTAATTGCAAAGTTGCTCCAAGTAGTCTATAAATTCAACTTCTATTTCTTATGTATTGATGTTTTTTCCCCCTCTACAATGACTCAGGCTGCTACTCTGAAAAAACCACCTTCGCTCCAAATAATTTTGTCAATAATGTCCCAAAATTGTCATCACGTGCCTAAGATGAAAGTTTTCATGGGTAGGCAAAGGAGAGGAGTGATCACGACTCCCACCCTTCCATTTCTAACCACGCTAAACCACACTCTTTCAATTACTGGAATGTTTTTTTCCTACTTGATCCGATTTAACAGGTTTTCAATACGGAAAGCCCAAATAAATAGAACTTTGGACTTTTTCCCTGCCCACTTTGAATCACAGTCATTTTGACTACTTCCTGCTCCTCAGCTGCAGCCGGCAAACGAGGAATGCTCCGCTTGGACTTCCCAGCCACAGGGATTTTAGCAGCTCCGAGTGCTAGCTGATGTGACTCTGCTCCCAAACGCATTTTTACACTTTGGCTCATAAATGTAACCAGAGGGATTTCATGTGCCACTCAGCCAGCCCCACTGCAGGCACAGCAGCCTTCGAGGGACAGTCAAAGCATCAATCTGAAGCCAGGAACCACTTCAGCCACCTGCATTTAGTCACCATCACACACGAGTCTGATGTCTTAAGACTGCCCTTGTCTTTTCCAGCTCTCTCTGCTGGAAAGCTGAACCTGCAGCCAGCTGTTGAACAGGATTTGCACTCAGAGGGGAGAATAACTTGTCTATTACGCATCGCTTGTTCCCAAACCATTTATTCCACCATTGCTAAGGTGATTTTCTGCGGAGTGAAGTTATAATCCCTGCCGTTGCTTATACTGTTATTAGGTGCAATGAAATCCCAATCAGTTGTAAAATCATCTACTATATAGCTATGAAGATTTCTTCTCTCCTCTAATCCCACATCCCAGCCTCCAAATGCAGCCTCCCAACTTCTGCACGGATATATTGGCGTCAGCCCAGCCTGCATTTGAGACCAAACAGTTTTAGATCCTTTACTTCCAAGTCTTTGTAAATCCAAATACATGACGATAGCTGAATTTTAATAAACCAGCTGAGAAATAAGCAGCAGAAGTTAGAGGCTGTAGGGGACAGATCTTTTACCACCAGCCCATGTCTCTCAGCTTCATGTCTGCTTGCTTCCTCGGCAGGATGAATGGTTTCACTTGATCTCCTCAATACTCTAACCTGGCCAGCCTGGTATTTAAAGCAGTCCTTCCCTTTAATAGCCAAGATCAAATTCAACTTAGTTACTACCCTCACTCTTATTCCATCCTTTTCTTTGTTTTGCTGATGAATCTACCATTTTTAAAAATTCTTTTAATGGTGTTAAGAAACTATCAATCACATCTTCCTCTGTCAGACCCGCGTGTGAGGAAAGGATGGATTTAAGCTCCAAAAGAGGAGCAAAAGAGGGTGCAAGAGTCCAAGGCCATGTGAGTGTCCCAAACCGCTTGTTTGTACCATAGCCAGGTCAAAAGATGCCACAACAGCCAACCTCCTCCAGCAGCTGAGGCCCCCTAAGGCTTGTCTTTTCTTAGGGGACTGAATCCAGCTCCAGCTTTTGGTGTGGTTCCTCCCTGCTAGCAACTTCGTGGTGAGGGAACATCTCCCAGAGGTCCCTTTGTGAAAGGGGTGCAGCTCCTCTTCTGGCCACTTCTTCACACTCCCCAGGAAGCGTTGTTCCCACCTGGACACATCTATTCCACACCTCTGTTGTTTCTTCTCTGCATAAGCCACACTATCATCTCTGGTTGGAACTTTTTTTAAACACAACTTTCTCTCAAAAATCCTTGTAAGCCACACATTTTATTCTATTTTTGAAGTCTTTGGTCTATCCTTTATTATTTGCCTGGCTTAGACAAAAAAGCCTGCAATTCATCCTCTTGGAAAGACTGCACATTATGGGCAGCACTTTACCCAACCATATTTTAAGGGTCCTGGAGAATATTCTTTTAGCAGAGAAACTGGCAGTGGTAGCAGGTGTTTTTGATAAAACTGACTTTATTTGCTCTACTCCCATTGAGAAGGTGAGAGGGGGGAGCCAGCAGGACCAGGCTGCGAGGGGACAGAAGCTCCAGCACCAGGAGATGAGCCCAGAGAGAACGGAAGGGGAAGGGTATTTCCAATCACTTCAAGTGGAGGTTGGCTATAGAAGTTGGTCATAGACCATCTTCTTCTCCAGAGTCACATCCCTCTGCTGTTCCAGCACTGCTCAGCCTGCCCTCCCTTATCCTACTTCCTGAACAATAACCACTTGAAGCCCATATGCCCAAAACATTCAGATTTATCAAAAGGCTTACATTCTCCTTTGGTTTGGCAGAGGCATGCGCTTACCTATTTCTTACTGCTATCCCCACCAGAGGGACCCAGTCAAAAATAAATGAAATAAAAAATTTTAACTAGGATTGATCAAGAACGGCGGTGGTCAGGCACAAAAATGCTAGCTGGCTTCTGTCCTCCACCCAAAAAACAGCTTATGACAGTGGTTCACAAAACATCTTGATCTTTTGTTAAGGAAGTACCGTATAAATATACGTGCATTAATACGCTACAACTAAGACAAAATAACAGTATATTTAAATTGCTCTCTCCCTCCCATACTTACACTTCTAAATGCTCACAGAGAGACCTCTGAAGTCCTGCTCTGATCACCCGATTATAGCCACACCAAACTGATGCTCTCATATTGAGCACTGTATCAAGACTGATAAAGAAACCTGTTGTTATGGATTTTTGTATACCAAAAATATGATTCATTATATAATGAATCATTGTAATCAGTGCACTAGTAATAACAGAAGTACTTCTGAAAGAAATAAAAATCCTAAATTACATTCTATGATGAAGTAAAGAGATTTTAAGTTTCTTCAAGGCATTATTAATGGCAAAGGCAACATCCTAACAGGGAACCAGCAAGAAAAGCCATGCTTTATCAAGAAAAACCACAGCTTTTATCAGGCTGTGACTCCAGATATCTAAAGTAACTACAACCACTCTTCTGTCTTGAGCAAAGATCTACAGTGTCATGCAGCAAAATATTATTCATCCCGAAAATACCTTACATTTACAATAATATTTGGTTACCATCTAACAACTCAAAATACTGACAGTAAGATAAATGAATGGTCTTGCTAGTTGCTGTTAGGTTTGTTTCTTGATTATAAAGATTAAAAATTAACCCGCTTGCCAAAGACAAAAGGAAAAATTATAGACAGAATGACCCATGTAACCAGTCTGAGGTCCTCAGCACTCTTTGGTAAAAGCTGCAACTTTTCACAATAAAGCAAAAAGCAATGATTATATTAAATCATTACAGTACTATGATGATACATCTTAAAACTTAAGGGAGCATTACTATTTACACATCTAAAAAGAGAACTGGTGTCTGACATCCGAAGCACAGACACAATAATACCTTACACCAATTAGAAGCCAGGGACTTCTGCCTTGGCTCATCACGGCCAAACCTTTTTTGCTCTTAACTTGGTGATATTTGCAAACTAGTTCATATACAGAATAATTGTGTGTCTCTCTCTGCTGTTCTGGTTATACACCAGCAATTTTTTAGGATACTGACAACAACTAGAGATTAATGATGATAATTATGCTAATATAGGAACTTTTCTTCTAAAAGATAGATATACCTGAATTTTGCAAGGAGAAAAGAAAAGTGCTTCAAAGGCCACCTCAAAGCTCTCCACCACCCTCAGCCAAGCTGAAAGACTTTGTGATTCAATTATTCCAAGGACCTTTGGAAGTCTGGCTGGTCTGATAGAGGCCAAGGAGAGCTGATGGACTGTAATGATTTAAAGACAATAAAAAGTCTCTGCAAATTAGTCGTATCACATGGGAGACATTCACAGAGAGTGGTTTCTCAACATCCTGGAGAAGAAAGCCCGTTTAGCAGAAGAACTGAAGAGAAAGTGGTGTGTCACGCAGGCCTGTTTCTCAGTCTTTTATTCTTTCTCGCCTCAGACCACGCGGCAGGTTCCAGTGCTCCACAAAAAGAGGACTCTCTAAAAATGCTATTATCATTAAAAGCACTAAAACTTCAAATAAAATAATAAATTCATTTTTACAACCATTTCATAAATTTAGATTACCGAGTAAACACGATATTTGGTTCCAAAGGCCAGCTGATGTACTCTGCCATACACGGGGGTCTCACCTGTCCCTCAGTCACCCCTGCCCCCTCCCCAAGCCCCTGGGGGACAGAGGGTGTCCCGAGCTGGGCACATCCCCAGG